TGATATCAAGAGAAAATTGCTTAAACTAAGTTTCTGGTCAATGTATGTAGATAATTCTGTTCTATAGGAGAGTTTTTGTATAAAAAAATATGTTTAGCAGATTTTCAAATGATTCATATTTAGTCAATTTTACATCCAATATTGATGAAGAGTTACTATGATAATCTTAAAAGTAGGTTATGTAATGGGAAAATGTTAAGAAAAAAATCTCGATCTCTTTATTCCTTAACCAGCATAGTTCAATATTCATGGAGAGGAGACTAGAACATCATTTCTAGCTTCAGGTCTAATCAATCTCACATGCGAGATTTTCTACAATCAATTGCATAATATATCCTCTCTAAACAATGAGAGATCCTATTTATACTAAAACTGTAAAAGAGTTTGTTCAAAGTAATTTATACTTAGTCAATTTTACATCCATCAATTTAAATACATCTCTTAACATATAAGACATACATAATAAAGAATATCAATGCTAAACAAGCTCGCTGGAAAAGATAAGAACGTAACACTACTATATAAAGTATAAACCAAAGATGATATATGGATTTAACTAGACATGATTCTCCTCAAAGCTAGGGTAGAATTTCTCCGGAGCCATGTTTAATGGAACAACCCTATTTCTTATGAGATATGTTTTTCAAGCTTCCGTGCATGGCAAACAGCCCACCTTACCGACAGTACTTAACCAAGTCATCGACCACATAGTTCGAAAACGAATATCATCTCTTCTCGACTTGGGCTCTAACAAATTAGAGGACGGACTTCGTATAATTTGGTTTGGCTCTAAAAATTCTAGGGGAATCTTTCTAAAATTTTCAGGAAAATGTTACATTCAATGTAAAAACGGTTTTTTTTTTAGTGAATAAAATTTACATTCATATATAAAAAAAAGAATTTCTTATGTTCTTATTTGATAAAACTCTTCTCGTTATCACAAGACTTCAAAATAACATTGTCAAATCATACAAAACTTTCTCTGAAATTTGGTAGGATCAATTTCCTACCATCTCCCTACCAGGTTGTCACAGAACAATTATTTCGTAGAAAAATGGAAAGAAAGTTTCAGAGAAAAAAGTCGTAGAAATATTTTTACGAAAATCATACAAAATATATAGCCGTAGGAAATTTCATAGAAAATTGTAAGGAGAATCAAGGGAAAAGCAGTAGTAGAAAATTCGAAGGAGCAACTTCTTTCCAAATTCCTACGGAAAGTTTCTCGTAAGATTTCGAATAAATCTCGTAGGAAATTGGAAGAAAAATCATGGGAAAAAGCCGTGGTAGGAATTCGAAGGAGCACCTTCCTTCCGAATTCCTAGGAAAAGTTTTTCAAAGGATTTCGAAGAAATCTCGTATGGAATTGGAAATGGTCATGGGAAATGACATGGTAGGAAATTCCTAGAAGATAGTTCATTCTAATTTCCTACGAACAGTCTCTCATAGCATTTTCGAAGGAATGTGGTAGGGACATTACCTACAAATTTTGTCGTAGGAAATTTGTAGGGCATTTATAAACATGTGAAAAAATGATTGTCTACCAATTAGGGCATTTATAAACATGTGAAAAAATGATTGTCTACCAATTAGGGCATTTATAAACATGTGAAAAAATGATTTGTAGGTTGGTGTAATAGTATATATTTTCGAAGGAAATAGGTAGGTAATCTGTAGGAAATTGAAACTCTTTTTCCTATATAAACTCCATTCACATTCGATAAAATTACAACAAAAACAAAAATATCATCTACAACCAAAAAACTTTCATTCCAAAAAAACCAAAAAAACATTTCATACAACAAAAAACACTGAATTAATTTCAATTAAAAAATACCAAAAATATTCTATATTCTCGAATAAAAAATGCATCTTTTTCGGACATGGATGGACTAGGAGAAATTTGCATCTAACGTGTTGTTGACGACCAAGTATGCGGTATGCCTCACCGAATTCATGGCCCTCGCAATGAATCAGGAATCTTGCTTAAAAAGTGGTAGAATATTTTTTTCTTGTCCAATATATGATAATAATGCATTTATCGATAAAACTTTAGTGTGGTCACATTTATATAGAGACGGAATTATGCAGAGTTACAAAATCTGGTGTTATCACTGGGAAAATGATTCATACCATGTGGGTACTACTAGTGGAAATGTCCCAGATAGGGTAGACGAATCCACATTCGCAGAAGAGGCGGAAGGTACGGTTCAATGGTTCACAATTTTCTATATGCATCGTGAACCATTTGAACCGTGCCTACCGCTTCTTCTGCGAATGTAGATTCTTCTACTCTATCTGGGACATTTCCACTAGTACTACCCATGTTGTATGTATCACTTTTCCCGTGATAACACCAGATTTGTAACTCGGCATAATTATGTGTCTCTATAAATGTGACTACACTATAGCCTTATCGATAAATGCATCATTATCACATATTAGACCAGGACAAAACATCCTACCACTTTTTAAGCAAGACTCCTGATTCATTCTGAGGGTCATGATGAATTCAGTGAGGCATGCTGCATATATACTCTGTCGTCAGCAACACGTTAGATGCAAATCTCTCATTTTCCATCCATGTCCGAAAACGATGCATTTTTTATTTAAGAATATAGAATATTTTTATTTTTTCTATGAATTATTTTTGTTGTATAAAAAATTTTGGTTTCTTTTTGGAATGACAAGTTTTTGGGTTTTTCTTTTTGTAGATGATGTTTTTTTTCTTTGTTATAATTCAATCAAATGTGAATGGAGTTTATATAGGAAAAAATAATTTCAATTTCATACAGTTTGCCTACCTATTTCCTACGAATATATATATATACTATTACACCAACCTACCAATATCCACCTACTGGCGAGACAATCGGTTTTTCACATGTTTATAAATGCCCTACGAATTTTCTACGACAATATTTGTAGATAATGTTCCTACCATATTCCTTCGAAAATGCTACGAGAGACTGTTCGTAGGAATTTGGAAGGAACTATCTCCTACGAATTCCCTACCATGGCTTTTCCCATGACTTTTCTTCTAATTCCCTATGAGATTTCTACGAATTTCCTACGAATTTCCTACGAAATTTCTTCGAATTTCCTACCATAGTTTTTTCTATGGCTTTCCTTCTAATTTCCTACAAGATTTCTTCAAAATCCTACGAGAAACTTTTCGTAGAAATTTGGAAGGAAGTTTTTCATTCGAATTACCTACTATTGCTTTTCTCATAACTCTCCTTCCAATTTCCTACGAGATGCTCTACGGCTATATATTTTGTAGGATTTTCGTAGGAATTTTCCTACGTCTTTTTTGACGACTTATTTTGTAGAAAATTTACTTCCATTTTCCTACAAAATAATTATTCCGAGACAACCTGGTAGAAAAGTTGTAGAAATTAATATATCCTACCAAAGATTTCCTACGGATTTGACAATGTTTTTTGTAGTGACGTATCTTGTTTAATTGTGTAGCGTTCAAGATATTCAAATGGGTTTCTCACTGAAAAACCAATTATGATGACCCAAAAGATGATTATCGGGGCCGTTCTAGACGTTGTAACATATGAGAGTGTGGTTAAGGACGATGGGGTTAATCCCATGACAGTGACAATGCTGCCATTCGGCGTTGTCTTACATCCCGCAAGTGAGAAACGCTTCACTTTGTCGGTTGGTTATCAACTCGAGACAGACAAGTTTAACGCCGATGAAGCGAAGAAAATGATTTCTCAGACTTTGAGAAACCTCACCAATGCTCTCCATCGGGCTGAAAAGTGCCAAGAGATGTTTATCCTCGCTTCACGCGGTAGTTGACTTTTTGCTATGGGCAATGCAGTGCCTAACCTAACTGGGTGAATCTAAGGTCATCTTTACCTTTGACTGCTTTGATATTATCTCGATGATTGACAACTATGCAGAGTGACCAAGCTTTGCAGCATAGATGGTCACTTTTTGATTTTTTTCTTATCTTTTTCCTTCTTTTAATATTAGATTTCTTCCTCGTTATAACAATGTTCGGATTGATTGTTTAGTCAAGAAGACGCACGTTGATGGTACTCTTTTTTTTCACGTAAGCTCATCGGTTTCTGAATGGTTCTCTCTAAAGAAGAATCTCTTTTCAATAACTTAATAAAATTGATGTGTGGTAAAAAAAAAATCTACACTGTTTTCCTGTTAAAAAATAGGTGATCCAAAGTTGTCTCAAAAAAACATTCTCATACATCAGTTCGTGCAAACAACACAAAATCATCGTTTATAATCAGTTGCGGGGATGTAAGCAGCTCAATCTAAGCACAATTCTCCAAATCTCAACAGTCTTAAGGCATCTCCTTTTAAAAATGTATTAAATCAAATAATATTACAAATTTGTAAAACCTATCTTTATGAGCTTCAACTAAGACTAAGAAGATGTTTCAAGGTTTACCTAAAATTATATAAAATCAAATAATATTACAAATTTATCAAAATTATCACAAATTAGTGAATATTCACAAAAAATCTCTCCACGCCTCAACAAAGATTAAGAAGATTTTAAGAGCTTATGAAAATTTTATAAAATCAAACAAATGCTTTAAAACTTGTCAAAATTATCTGAAACTAGTGGATGTTTACAATAATATCATAATCAACTCAATCTTCCTAATTCAAAATGTCGAATTATCCAAAAGAACTCTTTGTTTTAGTTATTTCCATAATAATTCTACTTATCAACTTCAATATATATCGAGTTTGATTTTTTTTTGTTTTAATCTATTTGTCGTTAAATCTTTGAAAAAAATAGGAAAATTAAACGCGTAAGATCTAGTCAATGTGGTCATGGGGATGGGTCACCTAATCAAATCTTTTTCTCCCTAAAAAAAGAAGTAATAATTTTTCTCTCAATTTCCTCGAAGAAGAAGAACAACATTAACAAACTTAAAAAAAAAATGTCAAATTGTCAAAAACTAAGAAACCAATCAAATTCCTCCATTTTTCCCTCTTTACTTTTTCTTCTTCCTCCCAATCAACTCTTCAGATTCCAGGAAAGAGAGAAAGAAAAAAGATTCAATCTTTATTAGCCGGAGATGTTGAATTCACCGAACTGGGAACTCCGGGGTTGTTGTAATCGGAATCAAAATACTTTCCTTATCACCATCGGAATCTTCACCGTCGTTATCCTTCTGGTCAGTTTTTTCTAATGTCTGACTATAAAGTTTGAAACTTTATTTGTTATCTTCGATTTTGAATGGGTTTTTGTAAAATTTAGTCAAAAGGGTTTTCGATTCACTTATAATTTCAACGAAATTTTGTCATCTTTATGTTTCTAGGTTAACATATTATTGATTGAAGTATCAAAGTTTTTGTTTTTATGATCTGGGTTTTTGTTTTGACAGCTATGGAGGACATTTCTATTGACTCCATTTAAACTCATTACGGTGTTTTTACATGAAGCCAGTCATGCCGTTGCTTGCAAGCTTACATGTGGAGATGTAAGGAGCTTTCTCACTTCAACTATTAGTCTTCAATGAACTTAAAAGTGTATAAAGTTGGTTTTAGGTCACTTGAACCCTTGATTTAGTTTGCAAACATGAATTGTCTCCTTCCATTTGCAAAATGTTGGTTTTGAAAGAGCAGAGAAGATATTCTGGTTTCCTTAGATAGAAAGGTTTTTACTTTAGCAATATGTCACTGCATTCTCTCTGGACATGATTGTTAGTAGAGAGATAGATAAGAGGTTGCGGTGTCCGTATTTGTCTTGCTATCTGTTATATTCCTTACTTCATTAGATTTGTATACGATTCTCGCTTGCTTCCATTGTTAATGTGTAAACTACTAGCTTCTGTCATTAGTTTAAGAACACACACTGAGTCTACTTGAACAAGTGCATTTGCTCAAGCTTTAGCTGTAGGTCTACTATAACTTGCCTAGGACTGAATGTAACAGATTATAGCTCTTGTGAGTTGGTTAGGAAGCTTTTAGTGAGGACTGGGTTTATAAAGATGTCTCTGCAGATTGTTAGGGTGTATATATGGCAATTTTGGTTCTGTGAGAATAGGAGTGTACAGCTTCAGCTCTTAGTCTTACTATACTTCTGATTGTGTTTCTTCTAGATTGATTGATGCATATGACAATATGCAAGTATTGCAGAGACAATATGAGATCCACAATTTTTTCCTGCAAGTACTGTGTGTATGAAACTTATCTACCATCTTCTCTCTATGAATCTTTAAGTTTTATACCCTCATAAAGTTTATCTTGAATAGGCTATATATAGCTTGCACATAAACCACCAAATGTGTGCACCATCTCTCTGTGATTCTGCAACTAACAGTCGCATATAATGTGGATAATGTGTTCCTACTAAAAAAATGTCACTCATTTTGGTTAATCAACTTCCTATTGAATCAAAAGGTAGAGGGGATGGAGGTGAATGCAAATGAAGGGGGTTCAACAACAACACGTGGTGGCATTTATTGGCTGATCTTACCTGCTGGCTGTAATGCACAATCTATGTATCTTACTTATACAAATCCACCATTTTTCGAATGTAGAACTGAAAGAGCTAAAAGTGTTACCCTTTTTGTTGCTGAATTGGTTATAGATCTTGGCTCATCATTTTGGGGAATGGCATTGATTCTTGCATCTACCAATCTGCTTACAGCAAGAATAGCTGCTGCTGGTCTGGGTCTTGCTTTATTCATAGTCCTATTCATTGCCAAAAATGTAAGAAGTCATTATTTATCTTATCTAACAAAGTCTTATTTCCTTGAAAGTCATCAACATTAAACAATGAGATCTTCAATGTTGACAGTGGACGCTTCGAGGTCTTTGTATAGGTGTGTTATCTCTCGTTACATTTTCTTATGAAGTAACCAAAATCCTTATGTAATTGCTAAAAATTCTGAAAACAAATCTCAGGTTTCATAGTTTTCCTCGCTATCATCTGGGTTCTACAAGAGTTAACTACAGTCAAAATTCTCCGTTATGTCATTCTGTTCATTGGTAAGATACCATTAAACTCTTCTACTTCTTGTTAACATCGTTCAGTTACATTTAGCCTATATAAAAGCGGGATTCACAATATTGCAGGTGTGATGAATAGCTTATTCTCAGTTTACGGTATGTAATTCTTTCGTCCTATTTACTTCACTTAAAAGTTATGACTATGACCAATAACAATGTGGCTGCAATGGATGGATATTAGATATCTACGATGATTTGATATCTCGGAGGGTCCATTCAAGCGACGCTGAGAAGTTTGCAGAGATCTGTCCTTGCTGTACCGGTTGTGGCTGGGGTGTCATCTGGTTAGATTTACATACAACTCTCAATTATCAGATTCTGAAAGTGAAAATGAAATCCTTTCTCTAACAAATTGTTTCCATTTCAGGGGAATGATTTCATTTGCGTTTCTTTGCGCGTCGCTCTATCTCGGCCTAGTGATCCTATCATAAAAGGGTATTCTTTTATGAATTCGTTGGTGTCTCTCAGGTTCAAATTCTTCCCAGTGAAATGCAAAGACAGTAGTTTGATAAAAGCTTGATTCTTTAAATCCCTTGGTGTTTGGGATTTACATTGTTGATTAAATGTTTTTATTCTTTTTTAGATTTTGGAGTGTGTTGAATAGAATTCATTGACAATTTGATTTGGTCTGTTTATTGCATTGAAAGTTCGTTGACTTCTTTAACCAAAAAAAGTACGTTGACTTATTCAACAACAAAAAAAAAGAAGTCGGTTGACTTTCTATAAGCTTATATTCTTGAACATTGAAATTGTTAAAAGCTTGAATAAGAGAAGACATCTTAGTTATCCTCAAAGCTCAAAAAAACATTATTTTAATTATTATTTAGTTCCTATTATTTCTTGTAAGAAAAATAGAATGTTTTGAAGATAATTGTCGTAACGGAAATTCCTAAGTTTTTTTTTTTTTTTTTTTTTTTTTTGGTAAAAGGTGAAGTATTTATACCATTTTTAATTTTGCGACAGCAAATACAGAGATAACAAAGAAGAAAGAAAAAACAAAAACTACGCACTAAAGACCTACGAATACAAGAGAAAAACACGACAAAGAAAAACGAAAGCGAAGCCACTAGCAGAGACAAGAAGAAGAAACACCGATTCCGAGCCGTGAAGCACGGACATTTGCGTAATTGCCGCAGCTCGAAGGAGCTCGAGTCCTCATCGTTGTTGCCACGAGCAAATTCCTAAGTTATATAGAGAATTCAACGAAAAAGTCTTTCAACTTTGATAAGTCCATTTTAATTCATCCATCTACACGAAACGAATTTGTTAAAACCAAAACGTTGAGGACTTGAGGTGATTTTTTCACTTAATACACCAAAATTGAGAAAATTGTTTTTTACTTTTTACTCCGTTTGAAGGCTTATTACGGAATATCATTTTCCCACGTTTCAATGAACAACCTAACAACTAAAAATGGTGCTTACAAGGTTTTTTGGTAGTTCATATCAAGTTTGTCATGTCCTTTAATTTTTTTGTTTTTCTGGTTAAAATGTTTAATACCATGTACAACACAATTTGGCTTTAGTAGAAGGGGTCGAATATCGGAATATCATTCAAAAATTTTTGGTGGTTTTTTCAAGAATTATGCAGATAAAGTTGTAGGAAATCTAACTATTCTCTCGATCGAGATATAACTAATTATTTGACCGAATACTATAGAATATGTTGGAGATATGCCATAAAAGATGTTGACACATTAGGAACAAGAACCGGGTTCAATAAGTTGAGGAATACCGAATACCAAACCGAACACCAACTTGGAGTCGTGGAGAAGAAGATGACGTAAAGGTTAGATTTGGAGCATAACGAACTCCACGTCACCGCCTAAATACTTTTTCAACCATTGACGACGTCTTCTAACAGTAACCCATCATTCTTCATATGATTCCTACTCCACCGTCACATGAGATATACTAGAATTCTATAATTTAGGTCTTTATATGGTTTATGGCTATTTTATGACATAGACGAAATTAAATTCAATATCTAAAAAAAAAACACAATTTAACCTATTACATATGATGTCGTCATGCATGATAATTGCCAACTTGTGGACGGAAGTTTGTAAAAGCTTGCATCCACGATTTAAAATATTGTTTGCATGTTGTATAATTGAACACGTGATAGAAAAATTCTAAATCTTTCAATATCATTGGGGAAATATACTTTTTTGGAAGTTTCCCATCGTGGAAAGCTCTTACCCTCTGCTAGGGTAAAATTTCTTACTACGTAAATTTCTTTATTTTTTTTTTTGCTAAGAAGGTAAATATTTCATAGAAAATGAAAAAGTTTAGGAATACAATCAAAGATTATAAACCTATGCAAATGGTCCCATGGCAAAAAAGATAAAAACATGGAAGCATAAATTGAAAACCTCAAATTTCAGTCCATTAACTCAACATCAGCAACAAAGCGAATGGAGTCAAATGAAGTGATTACGACTCTGAAGTTCTTCTTGATGAGATAAAGAAGATGAAGGACGACTAAGCAACCAGGAAAACGCCGAGAAACGCAACTAGCACCGGAAGCCTTTCACCGGTGGCCTGAGACTGTGTTGACAAAGCGCTCACAGAACAGAACCACACGAACCAACTTTTGCGATAGGTGCAAGCTCACTCTACCAAGATCTTTCCCCGATGTCGGCTAGCGCAGAGCCACATAAAACGAGACAAAACCACACCAAATCGCCCATTGGCCTTACTAGCTCCTCCATAGCATAGATCCAGCAAAACCACAAGCGAGAACTCGATGCTCTGCGATGACCTCACCTCACAAGAACCACAAAAACAAGACACTAACAGAGACATGGCTTATTAGCAACACACACATCCAAGAAGTACCCGTGGTGAAAGCAATTTGAGACGTGAAAAGCTACCACCGGAAGCCTTAATATCACCAACGCAAAACAACACCGAGGCCTCCGTTAAGAACAAATGCATCAACCGAAAAGATTTCTCACAACTTGACGTGCCACAACAGTTACTCACCATCAGTCCCGCTGCTATCTTATAAAGAATCGGTCTATTGACCATCAAATGGTCCATATCTGGACTATGTCCATTCGTTTATGTATGATGGAAGAGTTGGAATGACAGATTTGCTCGATGATAGGAGAGATTATGATGGTTTAGGCCAAACACATGTCACACATCGACCAATCATCAGATTCCGGTTTTTTCCACTAAGCTAAAATAAAAATAAAATTAGTTTTACTGTGTAAATACAACACGGGAAAAGCTTTTGGCAACCATTATCGGTCATGTGGTAGTGAAAACCATCCATATTGATCGAAATAATTCATTCGATAAATTTTATATTTTTGTACATTTCTTTATAGTTTTAGATTTCTAATCAAGAATAATTTTTATATTTTTAATATATTAGTATTATGAAGCATATTATATTTTATTACATAACAAAATAATTAACAAAATCCATTTAAAAATTTCACAAAGCATGCATTCATGTGTGATAAGAAAGGTTAAAAATGAAGAAAAAAATTAAGTTTTTGGTTTTGAAATCAATAATTTTTGTTTGTAACTATACTATTTTTGGTTTTGATCTACGTTTTTCGCACAAATACACTATCTATCAAACTACATTAATATGATATATTACATATTTTATTGGAGTTTATAATTAAAGTCTAAAATTCAAATCTGCATATGGAGCGGTTATATTTGCGTGTATATATATATATTTGTAATCGAAGAAAATTAGGCTTTCTACAATTGGATTGCTATTAATGTTATTTCTATATCAAACCAAAACAAGTGATAACAAAAATTAAAAAGGTAATAAAGTTGACTTGTAAATAAAGTAAGAAAATTAAAATCTGTCATTTCAGAAGAGGAAGTATGTCACATGTAAAATAGATCATTAATACTTGGTTCCTTAATACTTTTCATGAGAACTTCCACAAGAAAGCCATTGACTTCTACCTTTCTCAATTTCCAGCTTGACCCATTTTGTTCTCATGAAGTTATAAGACCTTTACGTATTAGATATTTAATATGTTTATAATATTTAGGAAAAAATGTGGTAATGTATCAAGTTTAAATCATTTGATTTGACTTTTCATTACCAAAATTCATGTAATTTCTTTTAGTTTTTACCAAAAATACTTATATGGTATGCTAATATTCGTTTTTTTATTCTGAGAAAATTTCACCCAACTAAAATATTGAGTGGCAAACAATGTTCAACTAATATATGATAAGGAGAACAAAAGTTATGGCAAGTTTGGAAAAAAAAATCAATTTGTTAGCATATTTTTGACTCATGCGCATCTCAAACTTTTTTCTTGATCCTTCTTCCTTATCTTATCTTTTCTCAAATTCTATATTTCTAAAATAAAACACGCAATTTCTATTTTAATTATACAATATAAAAAAATAGTTCTCAAATTATCTTCCAAAAATGGTCTTTACCACTCTTTTTCAGATTTCTCCTCCACGTCTACTGATTGTCATAGATATGTTTTAAAGAAGAGGCATTGATTCTCTTCTTGTTCACACGTAAGTATATACTTTTCATAATAAAAAAATTGTTTTTTTTGTTAATTCATACTTTTCATAATTTAATTCAAGGAATTCTCGTGAACCGATTTCTAAAAACATTTACAAAACTAGTTAATTAATGCATATCTTTATTTCTACATAAAGAAACACATAAAATATTTACTATATTGCTTCTGTATTACTAATATTCTTCTTTCCATATATAAATGATTGAATTTTAACCCTCTTACAAGGAATATATTTCATTTACATTATATATATAGATTACAAGAAAAGCCCATCAGTCTATTATTCTCTGATTCAGCGAAGAAAAAAAATAAATAAACGGCCAAAAAATGGGAGCAGACGCAATCCAAACGAACGGTCACGATCAAACCAAGTTAACCGGCGGTGAAGAGATCCAACGACTGAGATGTTTCGTGAAGAACTACGAATGGGGCAAACTCGGACCGGACTCATTGGTGGCGAGACTCCAAGAGGCTAATACAGGACAACGAGTCGACCCGGAGATTCCTCACGCCGAGTTTTGGATGGGGACTCATGAGTCAGGACCGAGTCATGTTGAATTCGGGTCGGGTCATGGTGGGTCTGATAAATGTATGGTTACATTGAAATCGTGGGTTTTGGATAATCCGAATTTACTCGGGTCTAAAGTTGTGGACAAGTGGGGTTGTGATCTTCCTTTTCTCTTCAAGGTAATGGTCAATTGCTCTGTTTCTTTTGCTCTGTTTTGAAGATGTTGCATTTGACTCTGTTTTTCTTCTATATAAATTGGATTTTGTGTGTTTTGAGAAGTTAAAATATACAGATTTTAATATAATCTTATTATATAAACATCTATATACATTTTCAGATTATGTTTTATGGTCAATCTCTCTGTTTTTTGCTCTGTTTTGAAGATGTTACATTTGACTCTGTTTTTATTATTAAAAATTTGTTTTTTTGTTTGAAAGTTAAAGCATGGTGAATCTAATAAGAAGTTTTTTTTTGGTATTGAATTGTGCAAATCAGGTAATTTCATTGTCACATCTAAACAATTTCTTTTCTTTTTTTTTCTGTTTTGAAGATGTTAACATTTGACTCTGTTTTTCTAATAAAAGATTGGGGTTTTGTGTGTGTTTAAGAGTTAAATCTCTGAGATTTGAATCTAATGAAAAGTATTTTGGTGTTGAAATGTGAAAAAATTAGGTGTTGTCAGTGACAAAAGCATTGTCGATTCAAGCACATCCAAATAAGGCTTTAGCAGAGAAATTGCATAGAGAAGATCCTCTTCTTTACAGAGACAATAACCACAAGCCTGAGATTGCTCTTGCAGTCACTCCTTTTGAAGCCCTTTGTGGTTTCGTACCTCTTAAGGTACACAATTTCAGATCTCTTTCTCTCTGTCTCTCATTCTCTGCAAACATTTGGTTCAGTTTTTGGTTCAGATCAACCGAATTACATAAGGGTTTAAGTTCTGCATAGATCCGGTTTGATCAAAAGAAACTGGTTTGATTGTTTTGTTTTATTGTTCAATCGTGATCAACCGATTCGATCTAAAACCAAAATCGCATAGAAGTATCAAATTAGGTTTAATATTGAATATTGTTGTACAAAAACTGAAAAATCTTGATAGCTAAACATCTTGGCTATTACTTGTGCTACAAGGAAAAATGAACCGGTTTTGTGCCTATAATTGAATCAGGAACTGAAGGAGGTTATCACCAATGTACCAGAGATCACAGAGCTTGTGGGAAGTAAAGCTGCAGATCAAATCTTCAACGTCCACGAACACGATGAAGATGAGAGAGTCAAATCAGTTGTCCGGTTGATCTTCACGCAGTTGATGTCAGCAAGCAACAATGAGACGAAGCAAGTGATATCTAGGATGAAGAATCGTCTGATCTTAGAGACCAAACACCGTGAACTGTCGGAGAAAGAGAAGTTGGTTTTGGAACTGGAGAAACAGTACACAGGTGATATAGGTGTGATCTCAGCCTTCTTCTTTAACTACGTCAAGCTTAATCCTGGAGAGGCTTTATATTTGGACGCGAACGAGCCACACGCTTACATTTCGGGGGACTGTGTCGAGTGTATGGCGGCTTCAGACAACGTTGTTAGAGCTGGTCTCACTCCAAAACACCGCGATGTTCAAACCCTTTGCTCTATGCTTACTTACAAACTGGTAACTTTCTTTACACGCTAACGTATTAGTACCTTTCTTTGCACGTTAATGTTTTGGTTCAGCTGATAAACCGAATATCAAAACCAAACCAATTGTTATCGTTTTCTTTGTTTGGTTTATTGATTAATCGTACCGGAATTTGTTCAGGGCTACCCAGAGATTCTGAAAGGATTTCCTCTAACTCCTTACGTTACAAGGTATCTTCCTCCATTTGATGAGTTTGAAGTGGATCATTGTGATCTTCCAAGAGGAAAATCGACGGTTTTTCCGGCAGTACCGGGGCCTTCGGTTTATCTGGTTAGTGAAGGAAAAGGGCAATTGGGAACCGGTTCATCTAAATTTTTGGTAAACCGAGGAGATGTTTTGTTTGTTCCGGCTGATAACGAGGTTCACGTAACCGGAGAAAGTGATGTGATGAAGCTTTACAGAGCTGGAGTCAGCAGCAGATTCTTCCAAACACTCTAGGCTAAAATTGAAGTATATGATCTTTACTAATTACTAAATATATTTATAAGCAATCATAGGGACCAATTCTCCAAATTGGTAGGAAATGTGTTCTTTAATTCCCCCATGGTGGCCCATTGCAAATTAAAAGTTCAAGGGGTTGATATTTTTCTCTATTTATTTTTATATATTTAAACAAACTTTATATGTTAAATTATTGAAAAATCCTTTTATCGTATATTTCAGATATATAAAAAAAAAAAGTCAATATATTGACTTTTTTTTTTTATATATATTTTATATATATAAGATGTATTACTATGTGTAGTTGTGTTAATTGATGAAATTCCAACGCAAAACCTATCAACAATGAATAATATATGGGTTCATGTTTTTGCCCAAAAAAAAAAGATGGGTTCATGTTAATGTGAGATTTCTAACACGCTTTCTCGATATAATGACTCTTCTAACTTATTTTGCTATCGATAACATATCATACTAGAACTATCCTATTTGAAGAGTCGGACTAGTTAATAAGTTTTTCGAGTGGTTAAACATACTAAAAATCCGTAGAACATAAAAATTTCCAAAGTTTTTCGAGTGGTCAGTCTCCAACTAAAGTTAAAAGAAACTTGACTAATCAAAAAAGTTTAAGCAATTAAATAAATGGTAGAGTTTATGGTTGTTCTATGTGTTATTTTGAGTTTTATAAGCTTTCAACTCAAAGTTGAGATATCGATATAAATGATCTAATAGTACGATAAGACTAAAGAGATATAAATGATTTGCATTATTTTGTATTAAGACTTGCCTCTATGATCATTATTTGGCGTCAAACGATGAGGTCTTAAGTATATGAAGTTTTGTAAACGTGCGTAGTGGTGATGAAGGCCTTCTAACGAATATTGAAGATCATTAAATATCACACTAAAAATACTCTCATGACTCATCCCATATTTTAACCTTAGTAGTTGAGTTGCAATCAACTCGATCGTTATCACACACACTTAATCTTTATGACAACGATTTGAGTTTTTTTTTTATGTGTTGTTGGCAAACTCATCTAAACTATTGTCAATGTGCTAACATATTCTTTTTTTTTTTTTAAATAACCGAAAGGTTTTAGGCATATCCTTGTACATCTTCTGAGGCCGAGGATCAGAACATTTATTATGCTTACCTCTCAAATATTTTTTTCTTTCTTTACAAGAAACATTTTTTTATTGATTAATAAAAATTGTGGTTAATTAACCTATATGGCACATAAGGTTTTACAATTGAGAACAAAAGATAAAGACTTGACCTTGAAATGTAAAGGTTCCATGCTTTTTGGTATGCTTGCGTCATACCGGGCAGTACATTCCCATCGATACATTCTTGAATTATGTGTTATGCGTTGATTGATTGGTGTATTTTATTATTTACTTTAACAACATGCAATATCATGAAATACGATATTGACAAATAGTAGAATTTAATTTGTATATGTTTAGTCGGCATAAATATGATTATAATATCAAAAATAAATTGAATTAAATCAAATATTATTTGCAAGTTTGCAACCATATATAAATCCAACATTATTTAGATAATAACCATTTAGTGGTAATAGTAAGAAACTATTTATTACATTTTTTCCTATTTTCTAATACAATTATCCACATTTATTTTTTAATTTCGTTTTAATTAATAAAATTGTGTGTTTTTGGTTTCTCAACTTGCAAAATTCTTCAAAAACCTCATAAAGTAAACTTATTGACAAAAGATAAAAACTTGTCTCAAGTTATTTGGTCTCATTGAATTTGTAAACAACTTAATAACCCATTACAGCTAATTTAACTGAAGCCAAAGCATAATGAACCATCATTCCAAATCTTTATAAGCAGTTAAGAAAGCAAGTTGAGAAACCAAGATCACCGGTTATTTAGACTGGTTGTTGATTATAGCTTTGGTTACGAAATGCGAAACGATTCCAACCGGACAGAAAAGAAGGCAGAGCGAAACCGAATGCCTCGTCTCGATTTGATTCTCTAACCCATCATTATAAACTTGCCTGCAGAGTAAACCCAAAAACACGCGTTTATAAGAAACACTTTCGGAAAATTTTAGAACCTGGTGAAAAGAGAAAATCTGCAATATACCTGGCAGCAAAAAGATCTACAACAAGAAGATGAATCCAAGCAGAAGCAAGAGTCATTTCACTTGAGAACATTTTCGCTATTCCAGACAACTGCATATGAAAAAAACTTTAGAAACTGCAATGATATATGTTGTTATAGATATTCTTGTTTTCGAATATTTTGGATGGTTGAGGGAAAGCAAAACCTCTGGCAACATGTATTTACTAGAAAACATGTATTTGAGCGTCTCGGGTGTCCAAGAAAGGTATAACAAATACGCGTATAACACGCCTAAGATGATATACGGTATGCTACTCTCCATACACTTCTTGGTCTGCACAAAGCAACATAATACTCAATTTAGATCAACTTCTTTGGTTCTGCACAAAAGTTGTGAAACTGCAATAAAACATAAACTTACAATTTCAGCTTTTGGAGCTACAACCATGAGAGTATAAAAGGGAAGAACCGTTGTAGTTCCAACCGCAAATACACTGCTTGCAATCTGAGAAGTAGTTAACCCTGCAACATGAACACACAAGAGATTTTAACACTCATTTAATCTAAGATCAAAAGTCACAAATGAGTGACAAAGTTTTAATCTTTAAATTTCAGTTACAAATGCAGAGAAACACATTACATGAAGCTCGTACACCGGAGAATTTCTTGCGAACAACGGTGTAAGAATTCGATGAAACATTGGACTGAACAGAGATTCTTGATCCTCCAATGAAGCTCCAACGATGATCTAATCTAATCTTTGAAGAATCAAGACAAAGTTCCGATCTTTTAGCCGAAATGTTGCGTTTCATCATCTGAATTCACCAACAACGAAAGATAAGATTCTTCTTTACTTCATAGAAATTCAGAAACTTTCAGACAAAAACTCACAACAATCAAAAACAGAGATTCTTTAACAGTGACACATGAGGAATAAAGTCAACTTAGTCCCATTAAATTCTTCAATTTGAGTCAAAAGATAAAGACTTTTAAGGTTATCCATAACTATTCAAAACAGTAGAACCTCAACACAGAATCTAATCCGACAAAGATCCAACAACTGCACATACATATATACATACACATATATGTGTAGTGAAATTGAAGAAGAAGAAGAAGAAGAAGATACCGTGAGAGATGAAGACAAAGGCTGAGAAATGAAAGAAGAAAAAGCCATCTCTGATTTAAATCTGCCAAAAATTGATCTTTCATCACCTTCTTCAACAAACTCTCTGCATATATATAAATTTAATACAAAGAGGAATAATTGTTTGAGAGATTTCCACTGAATAAAAAAAAAACGGAAGTGGAAAGAAAAAAAGTTGTCTTTCACACTCTTTCTTGCTCAGTGTCGACAATTATATGCAACACTTTTTGCTCATCCTTCCATCTTTAAAAAACTTCAAATTTCGGTTCGATTTAGGTTTAGTTTATTTCAATTATTTAGATTTTTTGTTATTATTTAAATTGAAATGTAATTTAATATGGATTAATCAGTAGATTCAGTATAATTTTTGGTTTATTTCAATGATATATTTAAATATTAGTATTACTATTACCATATAAGTTTTAGTAAATTAATTACACAATAAAACTTCAATATATTAGTATTATTACTACATAAATTTTTGAATATATTGATAAAAAAAAGTTAAATGTATATGATTTATTTCTGTGTGAAAGAAGTTATATGTTAATGGAGATTTGTGATCAAATTTTAACCAAAAAAAAAAGATTTGTGATCAAAGTGAATTTAGGTGGACAAGACACAAGTCTAGTTTCAGAACAGAAAAAGACAATGGTTAGTGTTTCCCCCATTAATTCGGTTTTTTCTTTTATTAGATTATATATTTTAATTTATATTCACAACCTGGTTATTGCATTAAGAATTGACAATAAAAAGATTTTAAACAAATACATTAAGGACAAGAAAAACAAGAAAAAGATAGACATGTGGCTAATACTCATTGCTTGAGAAATTGGATGGAGTAAGAAGATAACTTGGGTGGGCTATTTGGTATGATAACTTATATCTATTAATAGGCCTTTTGGCCCACCCACTTTGTGTTTTTTTTTTCTATTCCTTTATCACTCCCACCTAATTTGTTTATTTCAACAAAAAACAACACATGAAAACAAAAACAAAACTTTTGTAACTCCTATCTCTCAATCTTTATGTGGTATTTGAGCATTTCGATGTTTTCGATGGCGACCAAAACCTTTTGAAAAACAATATGTATAGTTCTTGAGATTAAAAGGTAAAAAACAGTTTTAATATATTTGAAAACTTTACACTCAATCAGTAATTAATTAGAAAATATTTTTATTTTAAAACAAAATTTGAGTTGTTAAGAGCCATGCATATCTTATCTTATTTCGAAAGTACCTAAACAACATTAAGAGTTACAAACGATATTTCATACTTTATAGTTCCAATAATATCTTTATGTGAATTTGGGCCAAGTCATTTGGCTGAGGAAAATATATGATCCAAAAGATCCTTGAATATACTTAGTAAAAATGAATATTCAAGACTCTTATCCAGAATCCTATCTTAAAGAAGGCACGTCCACTTATGTATCCATCACTAGATTTCAAGTGGGTCATCTTTTACTTAAAGATATTGTTAGGCTAAACCTCTCAAGCTCATTAATCATGTGACAAGAATTGAATGTGAATCTAAATTTTCTAATGATTTCTTTAGCGACACTAAATATGTTATGGTTCTTCAACTTGTAAATTTCAGATTTCGAGCCGCATTGTCCTCTTTCATTTGTTCATATGCAATTCAAATTGAAAGACTTATGAAACATTACATATTTATTTCATCAGACAGTTGAGAATCCGATAGAAAATGTCTCGCAAACCGGAAAACAAACGTTAAATCCGGAAATTAAAACCCATAAAAAAGAAGAAGAAAAAAAGCAGAAGAACAAGGGATAAAATCAAAGGTGGGGGATAATGTTTTGATGTTTACACAAAGCAAAAGGGAAATTAACCGGTGAAGCTTGGTGGCTTGTAGGCAATGAAACTGATGCACTGCACTTGACGGTTGTTGTCGAATCCGATGATCCTAATGAAGGCTTCAGGGTACTCCTTCTTGCACTCTTCCACTTCCTTCAACACTTGAGCGGAGTCGGTGCAACCGAACAAGGGAAGCTTCCACATTGTCCAATACCGTCCATCATAGTATCCGGGGGTGTTACCGTGCTCACGGTACACAAATCCGTGCTACAAACCACATATATTACAACCACTCAGAAAAACATTTTGTATATGTTTATATAAATCAAGATTCCTTATATATGATGCGAATGGCTAACCGAATTTTCCTAAGATCTAGCTAGTTTCTTAATTACCTCCAACTCGAATTCAACACAAGGAATCCACTTGTTGCGGAGAAGGTAGTCAACTTCCTTAGCCAATTCGGAATCGGTAAGGTCAGGAAGGTAAGAGAGAGTCTCGAACTTCTTCTTTCCAACGGGAGGCCACACCTATATTTTTTTTATCGATTTTTCGAATAATATTAGTTCATGTAAATCGAATTAAAAACCGATAATAAATTAAAAAGTGAAGAAGAAATATATATGACCTTCATGCAGTTAACTCTTCCGCCGTTGCTTGTGATGGAAGTAATGTCGTTGTTGGCCTTGCGGGTGGCTGGGAAGGAAGCGGAGGACTTAAGTCCGGTGAAAGGAGCGACCATTGTGGCCTGAGCCGGAGAGGCAACCATAGTAGCGGAAGAGAGCATAGAGGAAGCCATTGTTCTTCTTTACTCTTTGTGTGACTGAGGTTTGGTCTAGTGCTTTGGTCATCTATATATAATGGTAATAACGATGAGAATAAGCTTTGGAGTGATCGGAGGGTCTAGGATTCATGAGATTCAAGTGGAATAGGATCTAGGCCGTTAGATTTTGAGTGTGGATATGTGTGAGGTTAATTCACTTGGTAACGGCCACAAAGGCCTAAGGAGAGGTGTTGAGACCCTTATCGGCTTGAACCGCTGGAATAATGCCACGTGGAAGATAATTTCATGAATCTTATCGTTATCTATGAGTGAAAATGTGTGATGGTGGTGCTACTCATTTTACTGGCCCGGTGGTTTTGGCCCTTTCCTTTTGGGGAATTTATATTTTACTTACTACAAGATTTCATACCTTTTTTACCTTGGATTTGGTTTGAATATTTAAATGGTATGGTTCATGATAAAAATGGGAATTTAAATTTAACCTGCTTAATGCATAAAATTAAGTGTAGCTGTTGAATATATAATTTTTTTTTTCGTATTTTTTCATTTTAAAATCTGGCTTTTACAACATTAGTTCACCATTCTACATTTTTATAATTGGTAAAAACAAAATGTGATCACGAAATTTTGAATTGATTAATGAGTGCTATTTTACACAAATGTGTTTAAAACATGTTATTTAATAAAATAAAACAATAATGTACTAAGAACAAACATTATGGCCAATATAATAAATTAAATACAAATAAATATATAGCCTTCAAAAACACAACTATGTTTGATGTGCAGTTGTTGATGTGTAAAGAATAGTCGCACATCAAAGTAGGCAAAGATATTTTTGCAATATGTTACAAGCCATATGCTCAACAAGGCAACAAAGCTAAAATAAACAGTAAGAAAAACATCTCAAGTCTCCATCTTCCTTTATGAACACTATAAACAAAGCAAGTCAGACAAATCTTACTGTGCATGTCTTCCCAACCTCCTACATCACTTCCCTATCGGGTTGTATGTTTTTACTTGTACCTTTTCCGGTGCAATGATAGTATGTTGACCCAAAGAAAAAGCCTTTAAGAACTTATTGGGCTCTTTGTCAAAACTAATTAATTGGGCTCACAATCGAAAGTCATGGAATATAGATTTAGTCCAAAGACTTTCCGAGAGCTTTCTAATCAAAAGCCCATCACTTGAAATTTACTAGTAATAATAAATCATCAGTTAGGTTACCCTTCTTATTATCTGCCCAATTCAATGCAATAAAATTATTTGAATGAAAACGTATTACTGTTATTAATCTAATGGTTAGGTAAGAGCTAAAAAATCCTACATTAAACATAAGGTTCAACTTTAAAAATTAGATTAGTGTTGAATTGTAAATTATTTTGGGATTTACTATAAACTATAAATAATACTTTACACACTCTTAGATTTTTTTAGGAGGCTGAAAGTTTTTATCTACATGTTTTTTGGGTCACCAACTCATTTTTTAGTGTACTACTTTGATTTTGGCAAATATATTTGTAAAAGAATTTATTTGACTATATAAACCAATATATCATGCATTTTTATTTGAATTTTTGAAATGTTGTTGTAAAATTTTTTCATACAACCAATATATATGTTGCGATTGATTTGAAAAAATATGCTAGAGTAATGAAAAATATAATCAATTGCTAAAATTTATCTCAGATGTTAAGTTTTTCTTAAAGTAAATTCTTGATTCATATTTTAGCTAAAAAACTTGTAAAAAAGAATAACTAGATAGTTTACATGTACTATGTGTAGGATGATATGATTGTTAAGTATATACACTGTAGTTTTAATTATAAAGTGTACTAGGGATTGACCCGCGGTACACCGCGGGGCTATATTTTTTTAAAGAAAAGTAATTTTTTTTTTTTTTAAGATTAGTTAAAGATATAGCATATTATTTTGTATTTTTTAAATGTAGATATCTATCTATGTATTATTTAGTGTATGATTACTACTGTTTAGGTTTCAGTTTTTAAAGTGTAGATACGAAAACATACAGTTCATTAAATAACAATGTGCGGCGGATTTTAAAAATGTGAATATTTATCGATTTGTTTATAACTAAAAATGATAAATTTTAGGTTGTATTTGTTTTGTTAATATTGTTTGTTTTGTTTAGTGTTTAAGGTTGTATAATTTTATTTTGATTGTTAATTCTAGGATTTCACCCGTGGTATACCGTTCCGTATTAATATCGACCCAAACCCGTTCCACCATATAACCCCGTCCATATTATCCGGTTAACTAAATTATTAGAGTTATAAAATCCAATACATATATTGATTAGTTTCAACAATTGTTTATATTTATAGGTGAAAATTAAATTTTTTTGAAAAATGATTTATTTGTTTCTGCAATCATGTTGAAGTGTTTTCCTGAAACAATTTATGTATTAAATGACAACAATTTAATTGATTCAGTATGGAAACAAACTGTTTCAATTACATAGGAAGTTTTCAACAGTAATAAAACAAATGTAAAAGTGAAACTAATAAATCATTAAAGAAACAGAACCGTAGTTCTCTAATCCCTCGCTCAATGTCGTCGTCTCTCTTCGAGATGAGCTTTTGCGCGGGTCATCCTTCCCTTCCATCAACCTATATTCTTAGCAAACTTCTGCTATATTCCAAATTCTAAGGTTCAAAGCTTCTTTATCCGTTTATAATGGTGATTAGCAGTGGTGTATTATTGAGCCGTACGTGTTACTTGAGGCTGCAACCACCAAGCCTTGTACTGCACCGGAGATTCTGCGGAGCCACCGCTCGCTCTGTTCCTCTGAACGGGACGAAGAAGAGAAAGTCTGAAAAACAGAAGGTGATTGTGATTTCTAGTCCCACCGGCGCCGGAAAAGCAGACTTGCTATGGAGCTCGCCAAGCGTCTCAATGGCAAAATCATTAGCGCTGACTCCGTTCAGGTCCATTCTTTGCTCTAATCCGACTTGAACTCTCTAAATAAGTGATAGCTTACTATACAGATTCTCAATTCCCTTCTAAAAAACAAACAAAAGTAGCTCAAAGACATTTCACTTTTTCTATCACTCTCCTTGTTTAGAGTTTAGAAATGACTCTAAATATTATCGTTTCCGCCCCAAACCACTATTCGATATGATGTATATCTAAAGTCCGATAGAGTTACCTAATTCAACGGCCTGAGCCACTCTTCAGCCGTTCGTAATAGCGTCTCGACTCTCTCTGGTTCTCGTCCATGTCACTCACTGGGCTCCATACTGACAATTTAAACTTGTAGGATGCGAGACCGAAAGTGGGCAATGGAAGCTTCGACGGTACAACTGATTTGCTTGAGCTTTGACCTTCCTAATTGCTTGTACCTTTTACCAATAACGTAAGAGTTGAATAGTGATGTTTTATAATAAGCTCATGTTTAGACTACGTTTCATATATGCAGAGATGGCTTACCTCGACAGGGTGTTGATAAAGAGTGGAATGGTAAAAAGCAAGCATCGAGGTTTTGTAACGATTGACCTAATGGTATTTTGGTATATTAGGTACCTTTAATAATGTGAGAAGAAAAAAGATTTAGACATAAAGATCTGGAAAAATAAATTCGTGAAAGTGTATAAAAGGACAGGTCACGTGCAGTACCAAGCAACAGAGCCCCAACTCGAAGGCGAAATATCACAGCTTCTTTATGTTCTGAGTGCTGGAAATTGCGACGGCTAGTTTAGATCTGCAATATTAAGGTTAAACATTATTATGAGACAGAGCATAACATTTTCACCGGCTACAAAATTGAACACGTATAACATGTTAATAGAAGGCAGACCACTTTTGTTACATGTATAAGTAGAGATAATAAGCTTACCTTGTTGGTCAATGGTTCACGCATCTTCAAGATATTCAAAGAAAAGGTCACCAGGAGAGTTACTGTTGGCCTCACTTTCATAACCCGATGAATGCAAGGTTTCTCGTCTAAAGAGACCATGTATAAACTCCAAGAAAGGTCTCTACAGTCATTGTTGCCATCGCTACTCATGTCTCTAGGCTATCAATATGTGCAAAGTATTTATACTCGATGAAATTAGATGTAAGCGTATTTTGATGGCCAAGCAAAAAAGATTTGATACCATTTGGAAATTGGAATAAAAGATATATAATCGTTTGTACTATAGGAATATGCTATGATTAGAGTATTAATTATTTTCTATATACACGATTACTCGAATATTAGGAGGGAAAATTATAGTAAATAGTAAATGAAATCTAATAAAATCATAACTAAATTAGATCTTACGTAAGGAAAAAAAAATATTTAGTATTAATTAGTTGGAATTTGTTAGATTTGAATACATAAATTGGAGAATATAAAACCAAGATTATAGGAACATAATCGAGATTATAGGAACATAATCTCGGGCTCTTAATTGAGTTGAAATTTAGGTAAGATTCTTGAGACTCAAGGTAGTTTGAGAGTAAATAAAATTGATGAGATATTCTTTAGAAACATAATTGGTAATTTAGATCGGATTAGGTTTAATAGCAATTTAAATTAAATGCTAATGTAGATATTAAAACGATTTGGAGTTTTTATTAGTTTCCATTTGATAAATTTTCGTAATATTCGTTTAAAAGAATTAACAAAAATGGTATCTATGCTTTGATTAAGATTAGTTTTTGGTTAGTTGTTTAAATTTCGTAGATATGACCGAGATTATGGTGATTAAGAATTTTAATTTCTAATAAATGACTTCCATATTTTAGGATTTGAGATCTCGTTACCATTTAAATAGGAAATGTTTTAAGAGTTTATTTATTGATTTGTAAATTTGATTAAGACATATATTTTTTCCAGATTTTATTTGTAGGGACTAAATGTATAATATTAAAATTGTAAAAGGATTTTTGAGGCCAAATCTTCACCAAAAATGTATATATAGATTGTACTATTATCCAAAATGTGAAATACTAAGAAACAACTAATATATTTTTATTCTATTCAAATCATTGGTTTTTCGTATTGAAATTTATTTTATCCGTAAAATGATTGAAAACGTAATTTTTTTTAACCTAAATAACAAAGAATCGTATACATTTTTGTGAAGCATTTATTTACTTCATAATTTTATTTTATTTGAATTTCTGTTTTTTTATTTGTGTAAGATATATATATAAAACTAATAGCAAAATCTGTAAATAATGGACTAAAAGCGATACGTCAGCATGAAAATTTCGATAATAACACTTGATATGATGGTAAAGTTCATTTTTAAGAGTGTTTTTAATTAATATATAATGGATACAAATCTCGACTCTAAAAAAACATATTATTATAACTTTGAATTCTGACTGCAACTCTATTTTTAAATTCTGGTTGTAGAGTGAAAAATCTTAATACAATAAAAGCCATGAAAACATGTTTGTAGAAACTAGAAAGCACCCACATGGCCACACATCATGATATATGATGTTTCTAATCCCAACTTTAAGACTCAGTCAAAGAGTTTTTTTTTTTTTTTTTTCAGAAAATCTACCATATGGGACTTCCTCTTTTGTTACATATGAATTTGTTGACCAATTATTTGAATGAAGATTATATATATTACAAGAAGTTTATGTTATTCTAATCAAAACATTGAAGCTCCTCGTAAGGTAAAGCACACAAATTTCCGAAAACCATGGAAAACGCAAGCCCCTGGGTTTTTATTATTTAATTCATTTGTTATTTTTGCCTCCTAAAATTATGGAAGCGATTGGAAGATATTGAAGAGGTTTTGTCCAACAACTTGAAATCGACGACGAAATTGAAAAAGTAGGATGACGTGATTCACACGCGCGGCCATATGGATGCAAAACCATATATTTCTTTAAAATTGTTTTGGCTCTTTCCTCTTTTTTTTCTAAAATAAAAATGTTTTTGGACATTTTTGCATGGTATCTTCACCTATCTCTCCTCCATTTGGCTTCCTTTATTCAGTTCAATGTATCATCTACAAGAGTTCACTATCTTTTATTTCATTCATGGCTTGTTTTTAGTTCTAGGTTTGGATTTTTGTAGCTTAACTTTTGATAGAATTGGGGAGAAAGAGAAACTGATAAACAAAAGGTAGAGTTATCGTTGGATTCTGTATCAGATAAACCTCCATAAAGGATTATATCATTGTATAAGTCTAGCTAGAAAATATCCATGTTCGTATTTGTCAATTAAAAAAATTTGTATTCATTGTTTATTATGAGACGACAAAAAATGTATTCGTATGTTTATGTTTTGTATGCATCTATTTTTCAACCTATTACCTATGCATTTTTTATTTTAATGAATTATCATATCTGTCTGTCAATCACTTCTATATATATATGATTATTTGGTTCATCAGTTTTGTTTATCCATATGGTCTATTTAAGCATGTAGAAATATTGTATTGGAGCACATAAATTCCATTTGATTTTCAAAAATTATATATATGTATAGGAATTAGGTTCTTGTTTAGCCTAAAACAAGTCAAGTTATTTTGGATATTAAAAATTATTGTAAAACTTTAAATTATACAGGACTTCTAAATTAAGCGACCACAAATCTGTTTTATAATAGACTCCATTTATTTTTGGAGGAGTCTTATTTTCTATTTTGGTCAACTTGGGTGAGTAATTATTTCATACTAGTCATATAGTATATAACTATATATAGCTTTCCCATTCATTAGTAATTGGGTCTTTTAGAAAAATAGAGTCTACTAGCTATATAGTTATTATTAGTTAAAGTGGAATAATCGTGTCAATCATCTGATAGCCGGGCAGAAGAAAAAAAAAATCGTTGTAGTATAGGTACTAACATAAAGGCTTTAATTTTACAATGGCTCTATGTTAATTGTGTATTAAGAAAATAGTTAGTGTAAAGTGTAAAGGTTCTTGAGAATGAAATTAAGTAAGAGATTCGGATTTTTTATTTTATTTTTATTTTATTTTACTAGAAGTTTCTGCTAGATTTCTCCTTTTTATTAGTTTTTCTTTGTACTACTTTCATAAGGTTTTGTCTCCAGAGAATATTTTTATTTTACCGGCTTTTTACTCCAAAAACTTCTTCTTTTTGTGGCTTTGAATATTTCTCCCATGTTTAATATAAAACTATAGACGATAAAAAAAATAATAGTTGTTGTAAAGTATATGTTTGTAGAGTTTAATGATGACTTTAAAAATGTGCTTAAAGTAGTTAGCAAACAATACACTTTGAACTAGTTGGTTTTGAGCATCAACCTATAAATCGTCTGAAATATTGAAAACAAAAACATATCTAAAAATCTGCTAATCTTCAAAATTACACTAAATTATTCTTTAATTAATTATTGTGAGTTTAATTATTAAATTACACTAAAAATAAAATTGAAATATATTAAATAATTATTTGACTATAGGAAATTACTTGAGAGAATAATTTATTTAAAATTCATTTAGTGTTGTGAAACTTCCATAGTTTACGAAAACTATAGAAAAAACATGGAATCAATGATCACAACAAATATAACAAAATATGTATGTGTATACATACTTTCAAAGACTAATGGATTCAATAATTTGTTATCTTAGATATATTTTAGTTTTTTTTAAAAAGAAAATTTTGACTTGGAAATTTTAAACCTACTTTGGTATAATTTCGAGAATCAAGATCAACATTTAATAAACAACCCCTCCCAACATAACTAATTTTACATTAATAAAGCCGAACAAATACACCGGTTTTTTTTTTTTTGTCAACCACACATTTATTAAAAAACTCCATAGTTGGTTACCCAATTAGGAGGAGAAATGTTTACATAAGTAGTCACAAATACACCGGTTTTTGTTTTATTATTTAGTTATTTACAAAACATATCAGAAATGAATTATTATTAATTTTTGATAATTTGTTTTGTTTACTTTTTGAGTGTAGATTGTCTTAATTATTTTTTTCGGCATGATTATGTTAAGTAGTGCGGACTTTATGGAGGAGATAATCGAGGTTATGTGAAGATCTGTGGACTAAGATCATCTCCAACGATCTCCATATTCATCATCCAAAATAAAGTTTGAAATAAGATTCAATTCAATTCATTTCCATTTTCAACTTCAAGATATAAAATTTTATTTTTTTCTATATTTGGAGTTCTCTATTTCTAATTTATACTAAAATTTGGAGATTTAAAAAAATAGATTATAGTTGAAAAAAAAACTTAACTCTAAAATAAAATTATTTTATCTAAAAATAGAAAATGGATTGGAAATGTTCTAATGAAAAAAATAGTCACGTATAATATCTGCCACTGTCCAATATTCTTTATATCAGCAAGACCGACCCATCTTAAATAGTTGGCTAAGTTTTTTTTTTTTTTGCCAACAGTTGAGTTAGTTTTTTTCAGTAATTGCATATATAACAAGAAAATCCTAGAGTGAGAAGGAAACTCCAAAACCATGTTGACCAAAATAATTGGAAAACTATCTATGATGCATTGATGCTCATAGAGAATAGGTGAAACCGGTTTAGTTCCTACCTCATCACTTTTCCTCTCCGGAAAACCAGGAAATTTTGTACTTATTGCTGAAAGTGTAATTAAAGCGTAATTTTTTTTTGCTACATATATCCTTTAGGATTTGAACATTCTACCTCAGTTTCGAAAAAAAAAACACTAGCGTTCATGAGGTAAAGATAACGTCAAGTTTGATATTTTAGTAGTATTTAAAGTTAGTATTCAATATTTGTTATTGTTATGTCCTATCAGTTTGTTCTACACTTGTTAGTTGTTCGTTTCTGTCAGTTTCTCACAATTTATTTAGCTGTCCCAATTTAAATTTTAACCAAACTGTTCCAAACATATAGACGAGTTTTACTTCTTTCTTTTTTCAGTTAATAGGAATTTCTGAATCTTAATTATGCACATTTCCAAAACTAACATTAACTATAACATCTATCCATTGTTTTCTTTTTTCAGCATAGCTGATGCCAATTTCGAATGCAAATTTATTAGAGTTGGAACAAATTTCTTAAAAGAAACTAGTTGTTGCATTCATTTTTTCAATAAATAATTTGGCATAACAAGAAGAGAGTGTGGTGTTTAGAATTTATACGATGACAAATTGCACATATATTATTATAGATTTTGTCCTGAATTGTAGGTAAATCTCTTACGTTTTTACTGTTTTTTACTGGGAACTATGGGTTTTAGATAATTATTTCTAGCAGAAGATAAATAATAGGGACACACATATGTCAAATCTGTTGAATAATAATAATAAAATGTCACATCGATTACCTTTAGACATTTTTTTTGGTAAACATATACTACTATATACAGTATATATATATATATTTAAACTACTTCATATATTTTTGTAGCTATATTACATATTGTGTGTGTATAATAACAGAAATTAGGTTAAACATCACCATTGAATGCCGGTTGTTTAAATGAAAGAGACTACCGAATCTAACCAATAAACGTTGAAATTATTTATTTACCTATACTCTATAGTCAAGTGATTCCATTGAGAGAATTTTTTAAGTAGGTCTTTGGATAATAATGTTTAATTATCAGAATTATGTATGGAGCTACATAATGTGTAGCCCGCTCAGAAAAAGCGGCGATTCGACCAAACTCTGTTACCACAATGTCTCCGCCACGCGATCACATTTTTCGCTTGCATGCGAACGTTGAAGTTCGAACCTCTCCTCTCTATTTACCATTTTACCCTCTAGTAATTTCGTTTTCAAAATTTACCATCTCCAAATATTTTGGCAGTCCATTATTAATTGCCGAACATTAAACTGCGGCCTTGACAAAAAAACAAACGGCGGTCAGATATAAAAAGACTTATAGTAACCAAATATAAAAATACTTGACTGGTTTTGGACCTTTTGGTCGATGACGATCACGCGCTACGAATGAGAGTCGGAGACAAAGCTCAACGGCTTCCATATGGTGCTTTCATATTTATTAGTAGTAACTAAAAAAATAAATTTGCATTCTAGAAAGTATAAGAGAAACCATGAAAATTTAAATATTGACAGTAATATTTAATGTTTAACAAAAAATATTTCGTTGTAAAAAAAAACTAGAAAAATATTATGTGCAAACTTTGTTTATTTTTATTAAATGACTTTTAATTTTGCTGTATAAACTTGTAATAATTATTGTATATCCATTTAGAAATACTACTATATAATATATTTTCAACAGTACAATTAGTAACGTGTTCATTTCCATAACTTTACTAGTAGTATATATTTCTGTCATCTGCTGATAACAGTCAGATTTTGTTTTACTTAATAAATGTATTTTTCTTATTATTTACTAAAATTAATTCATACAAAATATAAAAAAATTACTTTAGCTTTTATAAAACACATCCGGCAAAAAATACTATATATATAGTATTTTTTTCATAATATATATAACTTACGACAAAAATACTACAACACACGTCACAAATATATAAGACGACAAAGTCCTTCCCTAGTTAATTGTTATGATCTCTCCGACCAAACCCAAGCAGCTTCTCCCTCTTAAATACCTCTGGACCGTAGTGTAGTTTCACCCAAACCCAAAAAACAAAACCCCCTCTCTATAATGCGTATGAGCTGTAACGGATGTCGAGTTCTTCGAAAAGGCTGCAGTGAAAACTGTAGCATAAGACCTTGTCTTCAATGGATCAAATCCGCTGAATCTCAAGCCAACGCCACCGTCTTCCTCGCCAAGTTCTATGGCCGTGCCGGGCTCATGAACCTCCTCAACACCGGTCCCGACCACCTCCGTCCTGGTATACAAACTCCCCATGCATGTTATGTTTTTTATTTTGTTATGGTTAATTGCGAAGTTCTGGGCCAAAATATATCTTTTTACGGAGACTGCTGTTAGTCCCTCACTGTCTTAGGAAACGTAGGATTCTGTTTATTTTTCTAACATGCATCTAATGATTTGTTTTTGTTTTGTTTTTGCAGGGATATTTAGGTCATTGTTGTACGAAGCATGCGGGAGGATTGTGAATCCAATATATGGATCAGTCGGTTTATTGTGGTCCGGGAATTGGCATCTTTGTCAAGCAGCCGTTGAGGCGGTGATGAGAGGCTCACCGGTGACTCCGATCGCATGCGACGCGGCAGTTACTGGTCAAGCTCCTCCTTTTAACAACAAGCTCTGTGACATAAGACACGTGTCAAGCAAGGAAGAGAACGTGAAGAGACGGAGCCGTGGTGCATGCAAGGAAGAGAGAAACGTCAGGTCGTTGAGTCATGAGTCGTCACTGAGTCACGAGTCGCCAGTGTCGTCTGAGGAGACGACGACGGAGGAACCAAAGAGTTGGATCGGGCTTGAGCTAACTTTGGGGTTGGAGCCTGTATCACGTGGGAGTCACGTGGTTGTGCCGATGAAGAAAAGAAAGTTGGAGAGGTGTGGAACGTCTGAAGATGAGGACACGTGTAAGATTGAGCTAGGACTCGTGTGCAGTGAGTGATGGTTCTTTTTTTTGGATGGTCTTAGTTACAAGTTTTGGTGTTGAGTTTTTAGGTGTACAAATAGAGATTAACGAATCTCTCTTTTTTTTTTTTTTTTTCTCTTTTTCGAGTTTTATGTTTTTCTTATCTTTTCTTTTGCATGTTCGGTGTATGAATGATAAAGAGGTCTTAACTTAACAAATCTGCTATTTTCAGAGATCTCTGGGATTAGATTACAAAAAAATCTTAAGTTGTTTAATGGTGAAATCTCCATACGATGATTAGTCATTCATTATAAATAGTCTTATTTCAAAAAGCCCTCTTGTATGTGAACAGTTACCGAATGACTAACATGTGTGTTAGATTTTCGTTCTCAAAGGATATGTGTAGAAAACTTAGGGGGGTGTATTGGAATAGAAATTTTAGAAGAGTTTTGTTTTTTCTATAAATCACCTGTTATTCAACTAATAATTTTTAAATGCCATTCAAAATCCTATGTTATTGAAAATGAAATTTATGTACAATCATTCAAAATCATTTAAAATCTCTTGTTATTCAATCAATGATTCGTAAAACTCATATCAAATCCACTGTTATTCAAAAATTACCAAGAATTTTAAGAAATGATTTTAAAAAAGATTGTAGGAGACTTTACATACATTTTTAGTTGAAAATAGAGGCCAAGAAAATCACACCTATAGAGGTGAGATTTGAGAGACTTCACATAAATTTTAAAATAACGTTTATGTAAAAAATTGCTGAAAAGTGAAAACAAAAGCCTCCCTGTATCTTCGTCTTCTCCTCCACATGGCTTTGACTACTTCTCTGTTTTCAATGATCGATTCATCGATTAGTTCTTTTTTTTTCTTTGTGTCTAAAATCAATAGTTTGTAAATTATCTAGGGGATTGATTGAAGATTCTAATCCATAGAAATTTTTTTGCGGAAGACGACGAGGCAATGAGCGTACACATCTTAAAGGAAGACCTTTTCTCTAATCTTTGATCTTCTTCATATTTGAGGATAACAACGACATGTGATAATGAATTGATGGTAGATATGGTTGACCGACCTCCATCGTAAATATTCCAAATTGAAGAAGGAACTAATTTGGGGTTGCGATTCGTTGTGTCAGGTCAGAGCGATTCTCGTAAGCCATATTTCGTCCCAGACCGTGATAGTTAACGAAATCATTATGTAGGTAAGGAGAGGAAGGATGTGAAAGAGAAGGAGGTGGAAAATATGGGGCTGCGAGAACCGATCGACGGTGGAAATGCTGCTCGTCACAGATTCTTCACATGAACATCGACGTCCATGATTAAAAAGAGGGCTGAGTACATTCTAGTGGTATGGTGGTCATGTAGATAAAGCTTGAGCCATGAATTAAGAGCACAACATGACATATACAAACTTAAGTTCAAGACGGAAGCGTTGCTATAAATCAAGAGCTGTTTAATTGTTCATCCGAGAATCTTGTGATTGATTTTCTGTTTTCTCTCTCAAGTCTTTAACGCCTGCAGTTTCGTTCCTACTAGCTATAAGAGTGGGGTTGGATGCTTCGCTTAGGCGAATATGTTATATGTTTGAAAGTTTTAACTACTGCTTGTTCTTTGCTATTGATGGGATTTATGGTGATACAGTATTAGCCATCGTGACTTTATGACAATGAGGTGTTTACCTAAGTCCTATCTTTGTTCAAACTTTCTAATAAAGATAATATCATGAGATAATGGAAACCATGTGATCAAGCTGGCACGGAAGATTGATAAGCCACTGAATGTGTATAGTTTATAGAATGAATGAAGAAAGCAGAGGAAGCCACACGTGAGAATACAGTTTTTTACTTAACAAATGATCGGCTTGTTAGGTTTTGGAGGTGACGAGAGAAAAATTATCACACACGACACCAATATCATCTATAATGATAAATCTCACCAAATCACTAAACTTTGTTTTTTGTAATTATAGAAAAGTCTATACTTACAATGACAAAGGATTTTGGATTTTGGATTAAATCACCTACAATTTCCTTAAATCCTACTAATATTCCTCCAAATCTAAATTCCACCAAATCATACCAAATGTTTAGTCCAATACACCCCCCTTAATTTAGCTAGAGAAGAGGATGAATTATTTTAATTAATTGGGTCAAAATGTGTATTCAGCCGAAAACATGGCCCAACTCTTTTGGACTTGAATCCTGTTTTGTCCATCTATCTTCCCCTATAACACTCACTTATTATCATAGGGGCAAAAAGATTATGTGCTAACATTTATGCTAAAATAATTAATGCAGTTCTTAGAGCAACAGCAATGGGGGTACCTTAAAGGCTCTACCCATAGTTTCTTGTAATATAAGGCCCAAATATAAATCCAAACATAAATAAAAGCTAAGGTCCGTTTCTAATTTAAGGCTCAACTATGGGTACCTTAAAGGCTCTACCCATAGTTGCTTTTATGCCTTCTATGTTTAAAATTCTTATGAATTTGTAATATTTATTAAGTTTTATCATATAAAAATATTTATAATTTTCCATTTAAAATTTTTTTTTTTTTTTTAAGAAACCTAGTTAAGGACTCACCATTGGACAAAGAAAATTTTAAGGATTCATCAAAAACTCTTAACTTTAAAATTGTTGTAAAGTAAGATTAAAATATGTTTAAGGATCCTTTTAAGGACTCATTCATTGGGGTTGCTCTTACCCTACAGACTACAGTATATATTTTTGTACTGTTGTGACTTGCTTATTGATAAATAAGAAGATTTTTTTTTTCCATAAAATTTAATTTCACAAACCAAAAGTATTATAGGCTAAAAAATCAATAATATATGTAAAATTATTTGTTTGGTGAGTGTGTGTGTTATATAATTATATTGTAAAATTATTCAGTAAAATGCACTTTTCCAAAGTTAATAAGAAACTAACATTTTTTTTCGTTAAACCTAGAGAAACTAATATTGTAGTTAAAATTATATTTCTAATATGATGGTAGTTGAAATTAGATCCAATTAATGGAAATATTAAGAACTCCTGGTCTTGAATAACGTAGAAAAATAATTGAATGAAATCACTGGAACATTTGTTTCCATTATTCGAATTCAAAATGTGAATTTTGTTTTGAAATCTTTAATTCGAAAATATGAGTTGGATAGTTCTACTGCTGCAAGCCTGCAACGATTGCATTAGAACTATTTAAATTTCAGAATGTAGACTCAATCTGTGTGCTTTAATGGGTGGGGTGACATCAGCCGCATGATTTCAAAGCTAAGATCTCTACAATGTGACAACAAACTATTTTAGTTTAATTTTCATAACCAATATATGCATTATTTTATCAATCATATATTTTTAATATCAGCGTCAAGTCATCGATTTACCATGTGAAAGATTGTCCTGTAGTTTACGAGTTCTGAGTGGTTTTAGTTTAAAATATTATCTTAAAACAATAATTTTATATAAAACAGAAAGAAGATTTTTGCGTCTAATCATTATTGAAAGGATATATCTATCATATGCAGGCGCCAAAAAGGTGACCCATGTACTCAAAGTCACAAACACAATTGCAAAATTGATATTTTAGTCATTTATCCCATGTAAACAATGATTATTTAATAAGAAAAATGTGTACATTGCATACAAATTGCAACACACATCCACCAGAAATTACTTCTACGTTAGAATGTCAATAGTGTCGCATTTGTAGTGTTGCTGTCACATGGTAAATTCGGTAGATATACTCTTTTATGTAGGCTAAGAAGTTTTGTACCTAAGATTTGTAGTCTTTGGAATCATGGAATAGAAGATTAATCTATAATTTAACTTTCAGAGTTCAAACTCATCGTGTTAAGGGTTCAAACCCGTTTTTAGTACGAAATTTTATTTTTCAAATCAGAATATCTAAAAACTGACTTTGGATAATAAGAGAGATTATGGACCGAAAGTTCCGAACTTCCACAGTTTATTAAAAAAAAATTCATATATAATCTGGTCTCAAATTTTGATATAGGGTTTAACCAGTTAAACTATCGATTTTTTTCTACCAGTTGATCTTTTTTTCTTATCATGATTTTTATTCCATTGAATTTTTCCACGAAAAATTATAACGATGATTAAACTTTTATGAAGTTCTTAATATTATCATTAGGTTAAGTACTAGTAGTGGACATGAAACTTCATAAATATATTTGGTTAAAAACCTAATACATATTTATTGCTAAAATTTGTCTCTTTAAAAACTTCATTTTGGTGCAAAAATATAAAAAATTTCAAAACAGTCTGATTTAACTTTTTTTTAAGGAAATATAAAAATCAACAAGAAAATCAATAATGAGTAGTGGACATATAAGAGTTAAAAAGTTGGCATTAATTATATAGAATTACAAGTTGACATTCTTCTCCGTTATGAAATAAGGTGCTTTATCGATTCAGGCACTTAAAATATTGGAAGATAAGATGCAAAAATCAAGCTTATAATCATTATAAGTGCTGATGTAAAACAAAATAAATTTAATATAATTAAAAAGATCAACTCGTTACCCCCATCACTTATCATTCCTATTATTTGTCATGTTTCTTTATTATTTAAAGGCTTATCTAGATTGAACCCATTTTACTATATAATTATGAGTTTCTATAGTTTTATATTAAAAATTCACCTTTTTACTTTATACAGTCCAAAAGATCTAGATGAAGACCGACTGTTTTTGGCTTAGGCCAGAGAACATAATGTGACCTTAAAGCCAAAGATAAACATAATGTGACCTTACACAGAGACAACCGTCAAAACCCTTCATGTGTTTTTGTAACTAATATTACGAAAATATATTTTCTATACATCTCCAACTAATTTGGCCATGGAGGCACCATTTTATTTCTGGTTTAGGAAACAATCTCTTGATTTTCTATAAAGAATTATCTCTCCCAACTTAGTTCCAACCGAGTGAGAATCTTACGAGTGCACTGTCCAAATTGATTGTATATATATATTCCTTTGTGTATAACTCTTGACATTTCTCTGTCTCCACTGCCACAGTCTCATTAATTTTAGTTTAATTTTTTTAGATTTAGTGACTAAATTTTAATATTGAATTTAAGATGTTGGAATTATGAATTTAAATGTCATGCGTTCGAGTTCATATATATATATATATATATAAATAATCAAAAGTGGCAATTGAATTTAGACCAAAAAAAATTGGCAATTGAAAATGAAAACAATAGACGGTGTTTTTATAGAAAAAACTTAGAGCATCGCCATCAAAAGGTTTTTGATAGAGTTCTCATCATTAAAAAGATATAATAAAAAAATAGGAGAGATATTAAGATACGGTTTTTATTTGAGAAATGTTTTTCACTTTTTAACATACTCATTTAACATTTTTCTTTGTTCTATTGGTTTTAATTTTTTTTACGATTTAAAAATTAAATAAATAATCAAAAAAATAAAATACTATTATATTTAAGAGACTCAATGGTTCTTACCGATACAAATGCTTTTATAGAAACAATATATTGCAAACAACAATGTTAACTTTTAAAGTTTCTAATTTTTTTGAAGTTCCGAAATTGTATGAAAAATTTATAAAAATATGTGAAAGTTTCCAAAATATACTTGAGATTTTTTCAAAACTTTTGAAATTTTGGTACGAATACGGTAAACAATACTCATCAAAAAATTTTAGCACACGATGCAATGAAAGTTCCAAAAACGAAAAGTTGCTATCAATTCATGATTGTTTCTGTTAACAAAATGTGAGTTATTTGAGTAAATTAAATTTCGAAACGAGATTATTCAATGAATATAAGCTTGTCGACAGAAAAAGTACATATATAAAAATTCCTTCACCTAAAATATAAATAAGTCTGTTGACAAAAAAAAGTATACATATAAACTGTTTTACAAATGGTAGCCATCAACCCACTTTCACCCTCTTTCCTATGACTTGCAATATGGTTTTCTATTAGACTCGTGATAAAATCATTAGTCTTGGCAAATGGTTACAAAAAAAAACTAGCTCTAACGTTAAATGTTGTTTGATGCAGTGCATTTCCACTTCGTTTTGAGTTTGTATTTCTTTCCATTATTTTTTAGAAGTTGACTTTGATGATTTCCACATTTTGGAGTTGAGTTTGGATAGACGTTGGGGGAGAAGCACTTTGAGCAATCGCTCTTCTCAACTAACGAGGATCAGATTGATTCAATGGAAATAAAACAATCTCTAATTAAAAGTAATAAAGTTCATTTAAATTAAAAGTTCATTTTGTTTTTTGTTCTTATAGATGAGTCAAAGAAAGAGTATCATTTGGGGGTCATGGGCTCATGAGGCCCGAGTGTCGTCTGCCAATTCAGAGTGTTGGATAGAGGAATAATCATGCATGTTGTACAATATTAGTATATTACAATAAAATATCCAAATATTGTAGTTCAACGCAAGGCAACTCGAAAATGTGTCGCTAATTTTTAAATAACTTGCAACCTATTTCAATTTGTAATTATCAAGAAAACAAAAAACTCTTCATTATACTCATTACAAAATCGTTTCAATTACAAATCCCTCATGTCACTCAAAAATAAGTACTCTCTCAGGAAGCTTAACTAGATAAGTCTCCCTTCACGGATCAAGTGGCTTCAAAACTAATTGAACTCCATACTTAGGTTTTATAGTAAGCACAACTATAGGAGCATGTCTATAATTCTCCGATATTTCGAAACTGAATTTGGAAA